GGGCTTTGTATCTCCTGGAACCATCATGGTCTTCCTTCACCCGATACACCCATTTGCTGTGAAGTGCTTTCTTTCCCATGGGTAACTTGACTAGTTCCCATGTCTGATTTGAGATCAAGGACTTCATCTCGTCCTTCATGGCAAGCTCCCACTTGCTAGCATCCGGGGTTTGACAAGCCTCCCAATAATCTTCAGGTTCTCCTCCATCGGTCAACAACATGTAGTCTATGTATCTTCTGTTAGGTACATGGGGCCGAGAGGACCTTCTCAATACAGGAGTTGGAGTAGAAGGTTCTGATTGCTCACCACCATCTTCATTTGATTCCTCTGACCGAGGATTCCTTATTACAGGAATGTCTGGGATATCTTCCACCTCTGCATAAACTGGCCCACTCGCTTCTGAGTTGCTGGCACTTGTGTTATGCCGGTCCTTGTACATCACTCTTTCATTAAAGATGACATCTCTGCTGCGGATCATCTTTTTGCTTTCATTATCCCATAAGCGGTAGCCAAACTCATCTTCACCATAACCAAGGAAAGTACATTTCTTTGATTTTGGATCAAGTTTGTTTCTGCTTTGATCACTGATGTGCACATATGCTACACACCCGAAAACTCTAAGATGTGAGAGTTTTACTTCTTTTCCGCTCCATACCTCTTCTGGTAACTTGTGATCCAATGGTATCGATGGACTTCGGTTGATCAAGTAAGTTGCTTTGTTGACTGCTTCTGCCCAGAACTGCTTTGGTAGGCCTGACTGCACACGCATGCTTCTGGCTCTTTCAGTCAACGTTCGATTCATACGCTCAGCTACACCATTGTGTTGAGGCGTACCAGGCACGGTTCTCTCCATTCTGATGCCGTGCTCATAGCAAAACTTCTTGAATCTGGTGGTTATGTATTCACCACCATTGTCGGATCTGAGCTTCTTGATCTTCAAGCCTGTCTCATTCTCCACCATAGCTTTCCAAATCTTGAAAGCTTCAAATACTTCTGACTTGTGTTTCAGAAAGTAAACCCATACCTTTCTGGAGTGGTCATCGATAAAAGTCACGAAGTATTGCTTCCCACCAACGGATGGGACAGTCGTTGGACCCCAAACATCGGAGTGGACGAGCTCAAGCTTCTCCTTCTTTGAAGTTCTTCTATTTGTCTGAAAGCTGACTCTCTTCTGCTTTCCAAGTATACAACCTTCACACATGTCAATTTCTATTGACTGGAGGCCTGGTAGTTTTCCTTTTGAGTGAATAATCTTC